ATTGACATTTTAGTATATACTTAACTTCCTCAAATTTTCAGTCTAAACAAATGGGCTATATTAGTTTTGGGCCCAATTAATGTAAATCTTAACTAAGCAGAAGAGGTATTTCACATTTCTTCAAGTATCTCATAGGAAATAATCCAAACCCTGGAACTGAATACAAACAGGATACTGCACTGGTCCATGGTGTCCTCTAGCTCCCAAGCCAATCCCCAAAACAAATTACCATGTAGATTTTTTTTAAAGGAGGTGGTTGGTCAGGATGCTATCGCAGCATTTTCCTCTAACCTCTGGTGTCATTCTTTACCAGATTCTATACTCAACCTACAGCTGGTTCAGAAGTACCTCTATCTGGTGTCTTTCTCTGGGTCTCTCTACCATTAGAATAATATTCTATGATTTCTCCCCTCCCCTCCCCAAAATCTGTCCTTTCTAAATATTCTCTTTTCTCATTTGGAATGGGTACATAAGGATTCAAATTTTCATTCTGGTCCCAATAATTTTTAATGTCACTGACTAATGTATAGCAGTATTTCTGACAAATTTCAATATTTGTTTTGAATTTGATCGCAGGCCCGTTTCCCAAGAAGTTCTTGGTGTGTTTGGTATAGCTCCTATATTCAGAGGGAAGCCATGTGGGTGCTGATGAGTATCTGAAAAGTTGGCTACATAGTGAGTTAGAACTTCTCTGGACCCGAACAAGCAGTCAGAGGATCCCACAGACGGGGAGGTGTTTTACTGAGGGGCTGATTTCTACCTGCCAGCCCATAGGTCCAGACTGACCGGCACTCTCCCGGATGGAGACAAACCCATGTCCCCCAGTGCAGCCTGCAGAGCAAATTATCTATAAACCATGCAGCAACATTCTTAACAAACTTCCCTAAATATGAGGCAGGGCCTAGAGTAATAGTGCATTTACATTTCCTTGCTAATTCTGGATACTTTGTAAATTTCTAAAGCCTTGATTCTGAAAGAGTCTTTGTGTACAGTTTCTGAACTGGCCAAATGCACCTCACTGGCCTGGAACTGGAAAGGCAGTTTCTCACACAACCTTACAAAGAGTGGCTGATTACAGTGCAGTAAGATAGCCCTTACAAAGCTACTGAACTCATGAGCCTGAAGGCTAGAATAGGAGTTAATCAAGACAGAGAGTCACTTCTAACAGACATATCCTCTATTTCAAGCCCCAGTCAGTATTAAGAACACGCTACTGGTCTTGCGGCCAGCGAGGTAAGATTATAGCATAGCCAAGGGGCAAATGAGCTCCTGGGGTAAGAATGGGATGGACCTCGAGGTTAAGATCAAGAACAGACATTCTAGGATGAGGTATGAAGAGCTGACCAGTTTAGAATTTCAGGATTAAGATCCACAAGCTGAAGTGTAGATATCAGCTCCCTTACTCGCTTTTGTAATTCCCTGGTGAAGGACCGTTGTGAGTTAGCCGATCCCTCTGAGCTGCAGGTCCTTCCCAAATTTACCACTCTGACCGTGACAGTCAGGGACTGCTCAAGGGAACAATGGGGAGGGGTGGAGAGGCGAGGGAAAGAGCCGGGAAGCTGCTCCTTTGCAGATAAAAATCCCACTGCAGTAACTATGACCAGGACAGAGTAATGTAGCCATCAAGCCATTTGTGACTTACAGGATGGAAACCTCTTCCACAACAGAAAGGACATGAAAACTTCATATATATATATATATATATATATATATATATATATAAAAAAATAAATATGGCATGTATATATAATATATATATTATATGAGATGTGATTTTTAAAAGGTAAATGTTCAAAAATTTTAAAAATTATTACAATAAAATGTTACCATTAAACCCCTTCAAAATATCCCCCACCACTTCAAACACACTCATCCCATCCACGTGCCACTTTTTGAAGCATTTTTGGAAGTCTTCTGTGTCTGTACGGGGTCTGCTAAAAAATACAGTGACCATTGCTGCTGAATGCCATCCAACAAAGAGCAAGGTTCATAAGAACACTATGGAACCTCCTCATCTACTTTGCTCCCCAGATCTGGATCTTCTCCAAGGTCAAAATGACCTCAAAAGAGAAACATTTTTAACTGATTCAGGACACTGAGACACCCACGACAGTCAATTTAACACACTTGTGAAAGAGGGCTTCCAGAACTGCTTCAGAAAGTAGCAAGAATGATGGGGTAAGTGTGTTTGAAGTGAGAGGGATTAATGTGTCTTTTCTTATAACAAATTTTTTAAAAATTTAAACATTCACTGTATTTTTTTATCACACCATATATTTTATATATAGGTATGCATGCACGTACATATATACCCACACACACATTTTCTTTCTCCATTCAAGAGGTTATTTTTCATTAACAGTGTTTTACCATAACAAAAATATAGTTGACTCTTAAATATCTGCTGACTTTGCTTACTACCAGGAATTTGTTTATTATTACTTTTTAAATGATTAGTAACAATTCATATGGGTAATGCTTCAAAGACAATTTAAAACACTAAAGCTCTTAAATTCTTACAATGAACGTTTTTTTTCTAGCAGATCCTCAACAGGAGTACAGGCCAGAGAAGGCCTTGTTGTGAGCTGAGAGAAGCCCCTGGCTGTCTCATGGTTTGCATTTCCAGACTCACCACCCTGTGCTTACTCTCCCCTACACTAGGCTCTCTCCCCTGGACTGTGCCAGGGCTGCCAGAACCTTTGCACTAGCCCCTTCTGCCTGATCGAGTTCTGGAATCCTTGGAGGGTTTACCCCAACACTTCCTTCCTGCCCCCAGGCCTCTGCTCAAAGGCCATGTTATCAGCAAGGCCCTCCCTGGTCGCCTTGGGTAAGCCAGTGTCCTCCCCTATCACTACCCAGCTGTATTGGTTTCTTTTCTTTCCTTGTTCAAGGCAGGATGGCATGGCTTTAAGGTGGCAGAAGACAGCAAAAGCAGCAAGAGCAAAAGGGAGGGATGGCGGCAAGCAGCCTCTTCCCTTTCCTTACATTTATGTAAACTACCCAACCCAGGGCAGGTGTAGCACTCACACCCATAACCCCAGCATGGCTCATGGATCAATCACAAATCCTAGAAGCCTGCCCCAAGGCTGCATGAGGATTTGGGGGGCCATGCAGACACAAGCCATAACACACCACCTTTGCCTTGCCTTTGTCTTAATTTGTATTAACTACTAGATACTCATGTGTTATGTCTGCCCCACTGAGGCATGACACCCCGGAGGGCTGGGGGTTATTCTGCTGCTGCTGTTATTTCTGTGCGCCTGGTGTTTAAAATTCGGTTTCACTCACAGCAAGTGCTAGAAAATTTACCCTACTGCACTTTCATTCCTTCTGAATTAGACCTATTACTAATTTAATGGTTATCTACACTTAGCCTGCATTTCTGGCAAATGCTATTCATTTCTTAGACGTTTTAGGTAAGTACATTTATTCTTTATTACAAAACTAAAATATAAACCCCAAATTTTTAACAGTCAGTTATCGCAAAGCCTTCCTCATCTTGCAGTGAAACCTAAGAGGCTGATGGAAGCTGAAAGCCTCTGAGAGCAGAGGCCAGGTAACATGGACGAGGAGGTGGAGGCTGCAGAAACATGAGTGACGTTTATGGGGGGGCTATTTCTCCTACTTAAAATATACATTTTTAATTTATGTGTCAAAATGTTGAAGCATCGTTTGGTCACTGCATCTTTGGCTGTTTTGATTAAAGTCATTCAAATTCATAGCAAAGGAGCTGAATCAACTAAGGTTTCTTCTTCCATTAGAATAAAATTTGATTTGAAAAAACAATGCACTCAATAACCAGAGCCCGTAAAGAGCTTTTCCTTCTTCCCCTCCCTGCTCACCACCTCATTATCACAAAATGGAATTGCATAACCAACATTCCTGAGTCCCACAAGCAGTTTCAATGATTTTCACTAAGACCTGGATCTCAGTGAAAAATAGATCAGAAGAGATCTTGTAATTCAAGTTCTGCGTGATTTACTTATTAAGAGCCGGGCAATTACTTCCTTTATAGTCACTGTGCATTTATGGTTTACAAAACACTCTTACATTCAGACACAGCGGCCCCCTGGAGCCTCACCACAGTCTATAGCAGGGGTGGGCCTGGAAATTCTGCCCCCTGGGCCCCATAGGAAGCAGGACTACACTCCTAGTCCACACGGGGAAATCCCAGCAGCACCCACGTCTCCTCACTTGCAGTCTGGGGCTCTTGTAATCTGTACACAGTGATCACTGAGTGTACCAGCACGGGCAAGCTGAGTGCCAGACATGTCTAAGCCGTCACACCCAAGGAATTATTACTACAAAATTTTGTACAGAAGAGCAACCCTTCCCAGAATAATCTTCTCCCCAACTTTATGTACTTTATATCTTAAGATCCCTTTTCCACCGAAGTTACATGCTTTTCAATGTAACAGTATGGCAAATCATAATACTTAAACAAACCACCAGATCAGAGTTGAAAACGGGGGTTCTACTGGTTTCCATACAGAAGGCAAGAAGAAACTTGCCTTTTCTCTTGGCTTTGAAAAGAGTTAGGCGGAGCACACTTTCCAGGTGTTCTCAATGATTTCTCAGCTGTAGCATCAGCTTTACATAGGTGATGAAAACAATAAGCGCCCGGTCATATCAATTAAACTCAACTCAAAGTAGTTATGAGGCCGCTATTACCAATTCAGTGACAACTACTATGGGTATCAGAACAAGTTTAAGACCAGGTCTTTACCATAAAGGCGCTTAGAATCGTGGTGCCACCTGCATCCAAAGCAGTAAATGCATACCAACCTAGGTAAACACCACAGAAACTCAGGAAGGACAAGCTGAAAGGTCACAAGATGTTCCCTGGTGTTGGTAAAGACCTAGAGGGCAAAGAAAGGAATTCACGACAGTTTCCCCAGCAGGAGTAATTTTAGTTGTGACAAGGAAAGGTAAAAATAAACGCGCACGGCAATTAGTAAAAACCTTTGTTACATTTTGTTTCCCCAAAGCTCACGCACCACATCAGCTGTGTGTGCCCATCTCCAGAACTCTGAGATACGAGGGCATTCCTTCAGGAATTCTATTTAATAATAGGAAGGTTCTGGCTTTTTAGGCGAAATGATAGTGTACTGTGGGACAGATGATCTCTTATTTTAGAAGCAAAAACTCATACCTCTGGGGAAAGGGAGAGGCCTTCATAACCAGGAAGTAGAGATGAGATGCCCTACAGAAGCCAGAGGGAACCAAAAGTTTCCTGTTCAGGCAGATGTGCCGGACCCTAGAGAGCCACAGGACTGCTTACACTCTGTTCTCTTGAAAGGAATTTCAAGGTCCTCAAAAGGTGTTCTGAAATGGAGAGAAATCCAAGCCCTTCGTGAGGTTCAAGGAGAGCCAAACTCAGAGACCGAGACATCTAGGGCTGCCCAAATCTTGAAGAAAAATCCTTCTCTCCGACTTGGGCTGCTGGAAGAAGGATGGGCAGGGAGAGGACAAGTGTAGAGGGGCAGATCTGGCTGGCAGCAGGACAAGCCCAGGGCCTTTGGGTAGAGGGGAGGCAGCAATTTATAAAATGAGGTTAATGACAGCAGTTGACAAGCAGATGAAAAGGTTACTAGATGTTTCAGCCACCCAGAGCCACTCAAGGCTGCGAGGAAATAGAAGGGAGTCCTGGATATAGGCAGGAGCCAAAAACGAGCTGTGTTCACTCAAATACCTTCTGCTGCTAAGGACCAGAAAAAATGGGTTTTGCATCTTTCACCACAGTCCCTGTATAACTACCTTCTTCCTTGCAGGGAACCTGGCCTTTGGGAAGAAAAGCACTAGTGGTTCCTACTGCCACAAACAGAGACTCCTTGCCAATTTCAAGGAGGTACAGAAAGATACAGACATGGGGAAAGATGCATCCGATCATGTCTGGGAGACGTACTGCTTTAGTGGACCCATGAAAATGGTCTGAATTAGCCCCAGCCTGAGCACTCCAGCCCGTCTACACTGGGTGGGCCCCATCAACACACAATTCTGGTTTTGTCTGTTTGTTTGTTTTCCGGTACCGGGAATTGAACTCACGACCTTGCACTTGTCAGGCAAGCGCTGTGCCACTGAGCTAAATCCCCAGCCCCTAAAGGTTTGCTTTTTTTTTTTTTTTTTTTTTTTGGTACTGGGGATCAAACTCAGGACCTTGTGTTTGCCAAGAAGGCACTATGCCACTGAGCTATATCCCCAGTCCCAACACACAATTCTGGAGCATTTGGCTCTGACCCCTGAGGAGCAAACTTTGCCTTTTACGCTCTTCTCCCACATCAGCAAACTCAAGTCCTGGACAGACGGAAAGGGCTAGGGTTATATGTAAATATCTGCTCAGGAAACTTTCCTCCTTCCCACTGATCACAAAGAATCAATTTCAGCCATAAATCAATTTAAATAAAGTCATCTTCTCAATCCAGCATTAGAGAAGCCCATCCCACATCAGTTTTCCTTCAAGTCTCACAGGCTAGGCCCAAATGCTTCTAGCCAGAGGCTGGGGAACTATGGGGCATTAACTCCTTTCTTTTATGACTCTTGCAAAGTTTGTGTCCTGCCGTGGTAAGGTTCCAACTTCTTCCCCAGGACATGCTTCTGGCGATGTGTTTTACTGACCCTCTGTGCTTTAATCCTGCCTGCAGCGGAAGCTGTCCTCTCTGAACCTCAGTCTCCCTCAGGGAGTAGAGCTCGGAGGAGCTGTTCTAAGCCCAGGGCAGGTGTGCCCCAGCATTTCTATAGCACCTGACACAGACAACCCAAGTAATGAAGAAGAAGTTATTTAAAATGTCTGCTTTCCTTCCCTGCCCAGATGTACACATCAATGGCCAAGTCCTAGTGATTCTCATCCCTAAACACCCGGCTACCACATCTCTGGTTTTCCCTGGTGCCCACTATTTCTAACCTGCAACCACCCTAATAGACTTCTTCCTCCTTGACCTCCTTCTACTCTTGCTGCCTCCAGTCTACACTCCACAGTTTTGCTAAAGGCTGCTGACCCGACAAGATCTGGTTTAAAACACATCCCCTGTCTTCCTTTTGTCAACAGCATAAAACTGAAGTCCTTAGCTGGACACACGTATCCTTCATTGTTATCTCTGCAGCTCTGCCCACCGCAATGGACCTTGCTGACTCCTAGTGGTTTCCCACAGCCCCTCTGAGGCTCCCCATTCTGCCATCCTGACTTGCACATCTGGCAAAGAAGCCCCTGCTTAGCTTTGAAGTTTTGTCTAGAAGCTTCCAGGATCCCTGGCAGCCCCAGACTCTCTGTTCTCACCAATTTTATCCCTAACTTCACAGTTCTGCAGTAATTGTCCTTTCTGATTGTCTATCCTCCATTAGACTATAAGATCCTAAGGTGTCAACATGTATTAAATGAATCAATGAATTAATGAAACGACAGAATATGGTCTTGAGAGAAGTTAGTTTGAGACTTGGGGACATCAGCATATATGCAGGTGACCACTGCAGTCACAGGAAAACAAATCACCCAAAAGGAACACAGTGAGCTCAAGATGAGAAGACCAGCATTAGAACTCTGGGAAGACTGAGGACAATCCCTCAGAGAAAGAAAAAAAGCAAGAGATATCTTAGCGCACAGTACCCAAAGACCAAGGAAGACTGAAAAACAAGGGTATGGTTTGAAGAAATATAAATGTTGTCTGAATAAATGCAGCAACTTTAGTCAGTCTGAACAAAAAATAAGTAAAGCCAGGAGGTTATGAAGAAAGAGTTCTTCTGCATGATTGCCTGATAGGAATTGTCACAAAAGGCCACCAGACCCTCAAATGCACACAAAGGCCACCACAATTTTATCACATAACACTTTTCCACTCCCACCAGAACATCTGCCCATCAACTCTGTTCAGCCTCAGACTGAAACCACTCTTGTCAGCAATTACTGTGGCCAAGGATTATTTTTTTCAAAATATCTGACAGAATTCTCCTTTCTACCCTTAAAAACTTCCTCTTGCCTCAACCTCTTTGAATATACCTGTAGTTCACTATGGTGTGCATTTCTATTGCTGTCCTCTGTTATTCCCAAATAAGTGTCATTATCCTTTGTAGAATCTCTGAGTTTTTAGACAGACAGGTTTATACTGAGACTGTACCACAATAGAAAATGAGAATTACTGCATCATCCTTGTTATGGTTTATGTCTGAATGACCCCCAAAAGCCTCATGCAGTCATGGGGCGGGCTTCTAGAGTTTATGATTGATTCATGGTCCAATGTTGGGATTATGGGTGTGAGTGCTACACCTGCCCTGGGGCAGATAGTTTACATACATTGTAAGGGAGGGAAAGATGCTGCTAGCTGCCCTCTTCGCTTTTGCTCTTGCTGCTTTCTGCCCCAGGAACTATTTCCCTCTGGCCTTGGGGCCAGCGAGTATGGACTGAAACCTCCACAAACTGTGAGCTAAATAGACCTTTCCTTCCTTAATTTTGGGTGTCAGGTATTTTGTCGCAGCAATAACTAAGGCAATCCTATAAGGACATTTGGGTGAAAATCTTAAGGAAGTTATGTGGATAGAAGCTTCATAGTCTGGATAATTACTGCTTTATTTTCATTAAAATGAAGTTTAGTCAATCCTTACTGTTGTTTCCAGTACCAGATATTGCTAGCCTGGGGCTTCCTTTATCTTACTGTCTGAAACATTTTTTTTCTTTTTCTAACTTTTTCACACGTAGTTTTTCAGAGTCAGTCTTGGAACACGAAAGTAGATTTATTCAGTTTAGATGTCCCAGACATACCCAGATGTCATCTTGGCCAGATTGTTAAGGTTTTACGGGCTGATACTGAGGCTCTGTTCATAGCAGAGATGGAACACACATGGACAGCAGGACTGGTTTCTTACACAGTGGTCATACCTCGAAGTTAGGTGATCTAGCCTTTACAGCCGTCAGCCCTCCTCTACCAAACATGGAGCCCATGGCCAGCACTGCTGATTGCTGCAGTGTCCCAGCTGAGCCACTGCAAGCCTATGACACTGGAAGCGCAATTACCCACTAGAGGTGGCCCATGTGAAATCTCTTCATTCTTAAACCAATTATGTTAAATTTGAGCATTCACAGCTCCCTGCTCATGTGCGCACGGCATGCACTTGGAAGAACAGAAGAATACTGCTCAGAGGACAACGAGCAGAAACAAAGCATGGACGATCCTTGATTTACCATGGGGTTATATCCTGATTACCCATCCTAAAATCAGCAGATCCCAAGTTGAACCATCTTTAGTAGGGGGCCATCTATAGTTAAAATGTGACTCAGTCATTCTGCTTTAATTTCTAGGTCCTCCTATTATGAATGGTGGATAAAAGTCTTCTTAAACCATGGATTCCACATACACATACATACGTCATTTCAAATCAATTCAGAGACCTGAATTAAAACATGTTGGTTTCAGATCTCTCTCGGCCACTGACTCCTTCTGGTTAGACTCCATTTATCAAACTACCCTGAAACTAAGGTTTCACTCTACATTGCCTTTTTTAAGGAAAATAAACTTGGCAATAGTCTATCCACTTCACATTGCTATCAAAAATCCTTACCTGGTTACCACTGTTTACCTCTAATGGGATAAAAGCCAAGCTGCTTTGCATGACACTGAATTCACCACAATAAAAGCACCACTTCACTCCCTTCATCCTGCCCCTGTGCATCATTCTGTCCTAACACATCTTTATTTGTGTATCGTGCGCTCAGTGTCTATGGCTCTTATAATACTGTCACAGATTTAGTGACTTAAAGCCACCCTCATTTATTATCTTGCAGTTGTGTAGCTTGGAAGTCCAACATGGGTCTTACAAATCCACGAATTAATAAGGAAAGACTCTGTTTCCTCGCCTGTATCAGTTTCTTGAAGCTGCCCCCACATGGTTTTACGGCCCCTTTTCATCTTCAAAGCCAGCAACGGCCAGTTGAATCTTTCCCACGTGGTATCAGTCTGACACTGACTTTTGCTTCCCTCCTTTGCTTTTAAGGACAGTTGTGATTCCACTGAGTCCTCCTGGGTGGCCCTGAATAATCTCCCCATCACAAGGTCCTTAATCTTACCTGCAAGGTCTCAAAATGTCTTGGTGGGGCACTTTCTTGCCTACCATAATGGTGTTTTTTCTGCCTAGAGGTCCACTGATCTCCGTGGGAGATCGCTACCCATCCCTCAGGCAATGCTTACCAGCCCATGGAAAGGTCACCGCAGCCCAGGAGGCTCTCTTGTCTTCCAAACTCAGGGCCACAATCTTCTTCCTCATCGGCCCGTATGTGTACATGGACTGCTAGTACTGTAATTTATTTGTCCTCAAGCATGTATCACTTCGACTAGATAGTGAGTCACGATGTCTTACTCATTTTTGCAGGCAAAGGCTTAACTATAAACATTTGTAGGGAAAAAAATTAATGTGATTTCTTAATGCATAAAGACCTCAGGAAGAGGCAGACAAGAACAATACCTTCACAGGACTTCTGTTTGAAGTACAATTTAGCAGCTACTTCTGACAGCTCTCAACTGGTTATTACCACAATCAACCAAACTCCTTAGTCTTTTAACTATTCCACGGAGGTAATACCTGGATTACCAAACATTGTCAAAGTTTTAAGTGTCTTCCTGGGTTGAGACGGACAAGTTGCACCCCAAGGGCTGGGTTAGGAGCCAAGTTCAGTGTGATACTATCTGCATGATTTCTGAGTTTAAAAACAAAACACTTTAACAAATCCAACCGGCTGGTTGGGTGTTAAAGGCAACTTGACAGCAATATTTACTTGGAGTTTCAGTATCTATAAGTTCTTGCATAAAATTGTTGAAATTCCAAATGAAACAAAGTTTAGATAGCCTCAAGTATTTAAACGTAAGCCTCAATCCAAAGAATAGTTAAATAAAATAAGGCCACATAAATGGAGAAAGATCTACTTTCAAAGTCAGTGGTTTGCCTCGAATGCATACCGTCACTAACACCATATAGCACAGAAATCCTAACACAGAATAAAACTAAAAATCATGCGTCTGGAAGTTGAGCTGAAGAAATCCAGGAGTTGTGTATGAAAAAAGAGATTACCAGTGGGGCGTGGTGGTGCACTTCTGTAATCTCAGTACTTGGGAGGCTGAGGGAGGAGGATGTCTGCGAATTCAAGGCCTGGGCTACATAGTGAGTTCAAAGCTAGCCTGAACTAGTGAGACCCTGTCTCATAAAAGAAGAGAGAGAGGTCATCTCTCTCTCTGTGTTGTAACTTGAATATAAATCTGCCTTTTAAAAAAATTATCAATCATAAAACTCCTTCGACCTAACTCATGTTGGTTTTGTTAGCTTTAAATAAAAGGACTGTGGAGTTTTTAAAGTCAAGGGCAGTGTGTAAATAAGCCAATGGTTACGTTTCAATTGCTTTTCCTAGTACCGAAAAAATAGGACTTGTATATCCAGAAGGCGTGGTAGGGATCTGTATTAAATGCAACATCATGAAAGGTAAACTGAGGCCCAGCTGCTTCCTTTAGGTCAGAAAGACCCCAAGGCTAAGGCAGACTCTAGAGCCTAAGACGAGACTTGCTGTATGGGGTGAGTCATGCCTCTGAGCTGTTTCTCACTGCAGATTTTAAACGATGCAGTTTTATACAAAATGAAAACGCTATTATTCAATATGTGCGTTGGGTTTCCCAACTGCTTGATTCTTCTCTAAATTTATTTAGAAATACATGTACAAGCAGTGAGCATCACCAACCAAAGTATTTGGCTAAAATGGACAAGTGAAGGTCTAATATGTACAAACGGTGAGCATGCTGTTACGATTATTTGTTTTTATATGGACATTCCAAGCTTCTCCTGCTTTTAAACCCAGATTATGTATAAGCACAGCACACAGTCAAATCACTGAGGATCTGGAGTCATCTCAAATTTTTTTTTTTTTTTTTT